AAGAAGGATAGGATATGATATCATATTATGAATTATATTTATATTAAACAACCATGAACTGAACTGAAGTACAAATGCTCGTATTCATCACACAAACATCTGCCCCCACCGGGACTCGAACCCGGGACGGACTGACGACGACACTGACGACCTCCGTGGCCGAGTGGTTTGTACGCCGGGTTTCATGGTGTCGCCGACTCAAGAGGTCCCGGGTTCGAATACCGGTGGGGGCAGATGTTTGTGTGATGTATACGAATTGCATTTGTAATCCATTCATGAATGTTTCATTTATATTTCTATATAAATATGCTTTTATAATATGTACAGTATATGCATTCTATCCGTTACCCTAGTATCCCATAACACAAGCCTTATAGTGCTTACTTGGTGCTAGGCTAATTGGTGTAAGTGTTGGAAATATTTATTAATTATTATTTATAGTTACAATTCACTCTGCTTTTGTAGAAGGACTCAATTTAATCCGACACGACCAATGCGTTGTAAATAAATATTACATAGATGCATATTTGTATAACAAAATATATTCATTATTCTAATCACAGTTGTGCCAATATACGCGGACTAGAATTTAAAAATGTATACTTCAAAATGAAAACATTTTTTTTTAGGTTCCGTAGCCAAACGGCAGAAAACGGAAGCCTTATAGATTCATCATCAGTGGCGAAGCCGTCTTAGAACACGATTCCTGCTGGCTTCCCTTGGCAGATTCTAATATATTTACATTCACAAGCGACTATTGACGTATAAAAGCATTAATGCAAGCGACATGATTTCATTGCGCGCTTTGTAAAATATTCTTCAATATGCTGGATACGAAATACGGAATATATTTGAAATCGCGCAAACGCACACACACGTCCGCGCCGCGGTAGTTGGCTGGATAACCCGCTAATAATATTGGGAATTCGAATAAATAAAATGTAAGCACTTCACGCTCCCATACACAGTACTAACACATGCAAACACTCGTCGATAGAAGAGTGATATATTCTTCTTCTCCGATCTTAGATAGCCTGCAATCTTCATTTGTCATACACACATCAAAAAAAGTTTGCGATCACATTGAAAAATAGATTGTTTTTTTATGTTACAGCCTTTTTCGAATTTCTTTTTCTGATAGATTCTAAATTTTAAAATTAGAACGTAAAGCAATAAAATAATTTCATGGTTTTTCCATATAAAAGACATGCAATCAAAGCTGATACTCATTCAGAAATCTGACTTAGTCAATATTATCGAATTTAAAATATTCTTTCACGGAAAGTTGTGGTTTAAAAAATGCCACGAGGATTATCAGATGTTTAACGAGCCAGAATTGTAATTTTGAGAGAAGAAGGCTATTCTATGAGAGAAATAGCACGCAGAGTTGCCAGATACCAATCCTGTGTAGTAACCACGTTGCAGAGGTACCACGGCATGGGTAATTTAGCTGATCGACTCCACGGCAGTCGCCCAACTGCTTTGACAGGTACTCAAAAGCGCTACATCTGGTTGCTGGTAGCCCGCGACCCAACAATAAACGCCACTAAATTAAAAGCAGAAATACGGGCCGCCTCCGGACTGGAAGTTAGCACCCAGACCATACAGAATTGCTTACACAAGGCTGGATTACGAGCACGGAGGTCTTGGCGAGCACCTTTGAATTCACAGGAACGTCAGCGACGGAGAGGAAAACATTTGGCAAAACTGCCTTTTTGTTGGCGAATCGCGCAGTATTAGTAGTCCGTGTTTGGAGAAGACCTGGAGACTCTGAAAGGCAAAGAACGGCCACTGGAACGGTTCAGCATCCCGCCTTGGTGAACAGTTCCAGTAATCAGTGTTCTTTTGGGGTGGTATTATAATTGGGGCTAGAACTTCTTTAATCTCTTATCAAGGCTTCATGACGGCAGACGGTTACAAAACAGTCGCTATTGATGGAATCTTCAGACCTTTCCGAGTAAACCGTGGGCACCAATTTGTACTGGTTGACGATAATGCGCCCGCATATCCAGCTCAACGTTTTATTTTTTTAATTTCAGCAAAAAAATTGTTTTATTTTTTTAATTTCAGAAAGTGTATTTTTAAATAAAAAAAGAAAACGTTAACAAAATAAAATTTTCATTTTCTCTTGATTAAGTTTAATTTTTAAAATATATCAGCTTTTGCAAGTGCTCTCAAATTTTTTGATGTGTGTATGTAAAGGTTTCGTTTCGCTTGAAAAGTTTCGACCAATCAAAGACAAGACAAGGCGCTCGGCTCTGTTGATCTGATGTCATTATTTCGAGCGCATTCGCATGGACGGATTCGTTTACTAATGTATCTATTGTGATAAGTTATTAGCTTGATTGTGGTATATGGTTTAAAAGAATCGAAAATAGTGAAATATTACTTGCCGAGTATTGTGTATAGTGTTTGTTTTATTTTACCGTAAAGGTCTGTTTGTTTGTTTTTGTTTCTTGCCATCACGTAGGAATGGTGGCGTTACTACAAATAGATTATTGTCTCACAGATTTCCTATTAAATGAGTTAACTTCAATCTCAAAACAATCGTTCGAAAATAAAACGTGGCCTAGGGTCTCATGGCCTTCGGCTCTGTCTACCCCGTAAGGGATACAGACGTGATACTATGTATGTATGTAGAATAGAAATAAATACTTGAGGTATTTATTTGTGATGATGATGCTGGCAAGTTAAGTTTCACTTATTTTGGTTCTTCGTTTTTCTATATATTTATTTATAATACGATTGTGAGTGACGTGTGCTTTATACGGCTTTTTTTAAAGCTATTTTTATCGCATGTTATTTTACAGGTTAAAATATGACGTTTTGCTTATTCACGCGTTAGTAGTGTTTTTGGTCCTGCTTTACCTTTCTTTTTTTTCACCTCACGCCACTATTCGTCATCTCTGTCTGCCTGTCTGTTCGTCCGTATGTCACAGCCACTTTTTTCCGAAACTATAAGAACTATACTGTTGAAACTTGGTAAGTAGATGTATTCTGCGAACCGCATTAACATTTACACACAAAAATATAATAAAAATTTGGGGGTTCCCCATACTTAGAACTGTTTTTTTTTTCATCAAACGTAAACGTGGTGGTATCTAGGGATGGGTCTTCAAAAATAATATTGAGGTTTCTAATATAATTTTTTCTAAACAGAATAGTTTGCGAGAAAGACTCTTCCAAAGTGGTAAAAAGGTCCCCCCCCCCCCTGTAACTTCTAAAATAAGAGAATGATAAAACTAAAAAAATATATGATGTAGTGTAGTGTATACCATGCAAGCTTCCACCGAAAATTGGTTTGAACAAAATCTAGTAAGTAGTTTTTTTTTAATACGTCATAATTCGTAAACTGCAATTTACCTTTCATTAAATCAACTCAACTTTACTTATCAATAACTTAATAATAAAATACACTATTATAAAAACATCGATCAAAGTTACAACGAACTACAAGAACTTTTATATTATGTTACTTGCTGCTACGGAACCCTTCATGTTCGAGTCCGACTCGCACTTGGCCACTTTTTAAGTGTTTATAACCCTATCTCGATGATACAGTTGCAGCCTGCGAAACCCTAAACCTTTGAATAATTATAAGCCAAACGTCAAACCAACTGTCATCATTCATTTAGACAGTGCCATCTGTCATTCTGACAGACGGCACTCAAATGACGTCAGTTGAAACCATAACCTTACAAAATTCGTTTAGACAATTTTACATTACGAAATTAGTATCATGCATAGTGAAACTAATTTCATGAAACTTGTTGCAGTACTTGCCTAACATAATAGTGACGTGAAATTAACAGTATAGCTGGAGTCATGGATCCAACAGGGTTGATGCTTTATTTTCCATAGAAAATGTTGTGGTAAATATGTAATTGTATGTACAAAATTCAGAAGAAGATGGTGAATTCGTGGGTGTTTATACAGTTAATATGAGTTATTGTAAAAATAATTAGCAGATAAAATTCCCGAGAGCTATACAAACTACCCAACTGAACCGCCAAGCCACGACTAAAAAACACTCGTCCTTTCAGCGACGGCGCTATCGCAAAACTAGTATCGCTTTGCGTTTATCGACCTAACCTAACCTATCCTTCCCTTCAGAATCCGTGTTACATGTTTTGCAACCCTTTCGAGATTTACTTTTGCCTTAAAATTGCCTTCTACTAAATTCCCTTTGTCGCTATAACGAAATTTCTCACAATAGTTTTAGTAATATTTTAAAATACATTGTGTTAAATACTGCTGGTCCGCCCTCGCTTCGTTTCGGTGTTCTATATTTGTAATCCCGAACCCGCACCCTTTGCTATCCGGGCGAATGCACTGACCAATTATGCTACTGCGGCCCTGATGGCCGCATCCAGATTCTTCTAGCCATTTTTAAGCTGCAAGGCAGCGCCATCTCTTCGCATTGTAAGTAACCCACAATGTCAAATGAATACTTTTACAAGTATTAAACATTTGAAAGAAGAAATAGTATTTATAGTTATAATTTTCATTTTTTTAAGCCAGTAACGGCTTGATGTTTAAATCTAAAGAAAAATTGTTTTCTTATAAGAAAATTACGCACATTTCCAAAAGACGCCACGGGCGGGTGGTGAAAATAAGAACTACATCACGTATTAAAGTGCGACAAAGGTATAGATTAAAAGAACTTCCAAGAAAGTTCCACCGAAAAAAAAATCTACTGAAAACTTTACCTATATAATAATGTTATAGACACAACACAATTTTAATAATATACAGGATATAGACACCATCTGACTAACTGTCAAAACAAACTTAAGTACATAGTGACTCGTTTGTTGATTTTAATAATTATTATCTTCAGTTGCTGAAAATGTGTTTAACCTTATTATTTATGCAAACGTGCGTAAAAACATTTATTGTTTGGACTGTTCAAACAAATTGTGTAAGTTGCTATATAACGTCCGGTATAAAACAATTGCACATACTTGTAGGCAAGAACATTTACAGTGGGACCGGTGAAGATGTTGAAACAATTTTTTGCATTTATCCTTTGGGCCCATTGCCTTTTTACGCTATCTCATGCAGGTGCGCATTTTAGCTTATGTAATAACTTTCAAATTAATGAACACGATATAATATCAATCGACATGCCCATATCCATTATATATTTATTAAGTGATTTGTATTCTTCATTTTTAAAGTCTGTTATATGTCTTCACATATAAAAAAAGAATCAATTATCGTGAACTCACCTATGAATTAATAAACAAAGGAGGTATTAATAATTACTCTGGAACCCTGGAGATAAGTACGGCACCTGCAGTAACTTTTATTCTACTTTGTTATGTAGATTTTTTATTAAATATAAACCCTCAAACCTTTGCTTATAATGGTTTTCGTGCTGCAACAAAATATGTTTATGTATTAAATATGATTGTTTAATAACTACTAATAACAAACCATTGGATTGATTTATTTATGAAAAATAGAGTTAATTGTTTAAAGACTTAAAGGCTATCATTGTTTTACTGTTAAACATAGAAAATACAACATTGGGCTTATTTTAGTTTGCTTTTCTTGATCTTAAATTTCTGCTACTCTCATGCCGTCTTTTCAAGTTGGCCCCCCTAATAAATATTAAAAAAATGTGTTTCAATTTATCACACACTCTATAAGAACAATCGATCTACCAAGTGAGGAGTCTCTGACAATTAATGCACAAACCTGTTGTGGTACAAACTCTTGCTATTGTTCGTCCATCGAGCGAGTTCATGAAATAAAATACTTGGAGTGTTGCTGGATAGCAATTTATCTTTTAACCTTCATATCAATGTCCATGTTGCAAGAATTCGCAAACTAATATATATTTTCATGTCACTTATGACAGCAACTGATCCATCACTCCTCAAATCCGTTTACTTCTCTGTTTGTCAATCGTTGGTTCTGTATTTCATTTCATCTTGGGGTGGTGTTCCTTTGTCAACTGTACTCCCAGCATGCCCAACGCGCAGTTCTAAAAGTAGCTACATTCAAGCCGTTACTGTTTCCTACTGGGGCCTTATATTCTTTCTGCGACGTTGTATCAGTATGTTAATTATTATTTTTGTAAATAATAATACACTCACATTCCGAACAACCTTTGGATCCTTATAAAAGTGAACCTCGTCACAACAATTTGATTTTAAAGAGTAAACCATATAATAAATACTTTAGCAAACGATTTCTACTTTTTCTAGGTCCCTTTATGAATAATATTTATTTTTAATTATTCACTAAATTACTGTAAACTAAAACGCATACACAATCAACTTCTTCTTCCACTGACTTATGAAGAAACTGAGAAGATGTTACTACACATAAGTTGATTCCTTATTCGTCTTGCCCGAAAATTATTTTTGAAATATAACTAAATTTTGGTCTTCTCGTTAAAAAAGTATTTTTTTGTTTGTCATTTTTACTTAAATTTTACTTTTTCATTTAAAAACTAAAAAAAATTTATTACAGATATTACAATCCACTAAGACTCGCTCCACTATTCCTCCTAACCGTTTATAGTAAATGTGTGCCAGCTTCCGCCAATATTTGAGTGTTATTGGTACACAGTAATTATCTATGATAATAATAAATAATAATATGATAATTATCTAATTATCTTTTATCACTAATTATCCTTCAACCAAAAATTGGTGGGGCGCATCTTCGTGGATTGCACTATCTGTAACAATGAGGTATCTTGTCACTGGAAGAGAGTGGGTACTTAGGTCACAGGGTTATCCTATTTTAAGTACCTACATATCCTTAGCTTTAAAACATCCTGTGCCTCTTATTTTTAAAACCATATTGTAAAAATATGCAAATAAATTATTATTATTATTTCTCAGTCAGTATTTGCGGAAAAAACAAAAGATTAGTGTGGTGCCCTGAGAATCTATGCATTCCATTGACTTGCGCACAAGCTGGGTTTCCTGTTCCCTGTCCCATAGTAGGGCCGGGTGGACCATGCTTTAAGTTTCCTGAATGCATTTGTATCGAAGGGTACTTGAAAAACAGCAACGGAGTATGCGTGCCAAAGGATGAATGCAGTAAGTAATTTCACAGATCCTATCAGTTCCACTGTTTTACTAGATCTATATCACAATACAGTACTGTTTATCTTAATGAGTTAAATGCTAGAAAATTTAACACATTTTAATTTTCATAAAAAATGAAAGAAAATGTTAATAATTTAGTAAAGCGGTTATTATAGTGCAATAATATTCACGGTCATCATGTGCTTCACTTGAAGTATTACATTAATTTTACAGCGACCTGCGGAGGTGACAACAACGCGATTCCCGGCTGTGGATTTCTTTGTGGTAGACATTGCGACAACAATGTGACTGTCAATGCACCATGTGCTTGTAACAGCAACGGTTGTGTGTGTAGGGCAGGCTATGTTTATGACGATAAACAACAGAAGTGTGTGCTACCAAGTCAATGCAGTAAGTGATAATTCCTTTTTTGAAGTAGACCAGGAATTTTACAATAGGATCACGCCGGGTACAGTGTAACAAGAAGCATAGTAACATACGGAATATATAATACCTAATATATAATACCATAGAAAATTAAGGAAAGGTTAGATATAATTGTCTGACCTTTCCTTAATTTTCTATGTCTTGACGTGTTTTATTAGTTTCACATCATAAGTTGTCATTGGTTATCAAAGGGCCGCCTATAATACAGAGATATTCCTTATGTTACACTGTGCCCCCTGTAACACTGTCCTTCACTTGACCCTACGTAGTTAGTGATCTTTCTAAATCGTCAATTTTATTATTTACACAGCTGTACCTAGAGATAACGAGGGATGGTCTCCTTGTGTTGATTACGGTTGCGAGGTACAAAACTGCGCTGAGCTGTTACTGGGTAAAAACTGCACAGAACCTGTCAACTGTGTCGGTGGTTATGTATGTACGGAGGGTTATGTGCGGGGACGAAACGGTACCTGTATCCTCAGAAGTTTGTGTGTCAGTAAGTAAATGGAAAATAATAAAAGGAACAATTTGTATTTTTTTTTAAATCCATCATCGAATATCGACTTTTCTACAAAAAAAGAAAAGGTTTATTAAGTTTTCAAATAATAACTATTTAAAAAAAACTAATTTCTCAAACATTTCAACTAGGGCTGAGCGCAAAATTAGTATGACAAAAATAACATTGTTTTTTGATGACATCGCCCAATTCGTTGATTAAGACCTATTTATTATTTTTCAGGAGATTTTTGCCCAAAGCCAAACGAATTCTACAATCCTTGTCCAACTCCTGGCACGGACGATCTCAGGAATACCACCACGGTGTGGCCAGTGAATCGGCAATGTATTCCGGCTTGCATCTGTAGACCCAACTATTATAGGAATAGCGAAGGCATCTGTGTCCTTCGTCCCCCATCTGAACAAGTATAAAGCCATTGTAACTCATCAATATTCTGCTAAATTATTTTTTGTATCTACTAAGTACGAGATTATTTAAAAAAGCGCTTATAAAAAAGTGGAAAAATGAATAAACTGCCAAGTCCTAAATATGTTTAAATTATTGAATTATATTTTACATTTTAGTACATTTAATCGTTTGTTAGTAGCATGTCTAGCAGATTCATATTTACACATATTTCCACTATGTACTATATTTATATCTTCTGTTTACCATCAATATAACCATAACCAGAATTTTATATTCATTTTTTCGATCCGCATCTACACGATAACCTGAGAGAACAAATTGTCCTTTGTGGTGCACCGATCCCGTGGATATACAAATCTAGCAGCATTATTCAAATACTATCCTGTCTCCTAGTACTGTAATATAATGTACGTTGGCGGTCAGAAAATGTTTACCAGTTTTGAAATTAGATTCTATGTCACACTTTTTTGACTAAATTCTAAAATTCCATATCAAGCAACTTATTACTTTTCAAAAGTTATTATGGAATATGACGCGTCGAGAATAACAAAAAGAATTATATATTACTTTTTGATATTGAAAGTCATTTCTTTATTTGTTGAAATGACTTTTATAAAAAAAATAATTGTTTCAACATTGCTTGGACAAGAGCAAAATTTTACGAATAATATTTTCATAACGAAATAAAATGACAAGTTTGACGTTTGACCCTGGAGCAAAGGGCTGAAATAATATTTCTCTTCGAAGATGGACGGACAAGTATTAGTGATATATCACGAGAACTCAATATATCACGATTCACTGTGAGGTTTTTTTGGATACGGCGTCACGGCGAAGAAGGGCACTTAACAGATCATAGAAATAATTCAGGACGACGACCAATTCTAACCGCCGCGCAAATAACAGAAATGATTCGTCGTTATGAAGAGAACGGTTTCACACCAACTAGTTATTTTGCTGCTTTATATGAAGCGAGTGCTTCGTCCGAGCATCCATCGCCCGAGAGATACAGGAGGTATAGGATTTGAGATATAGGATAATTATTATCCCGGAAAACGTCAGTTTTCTGTGAGATGCTCAAAAAATAACTAAAACGCAGACGAAGTCTCGGGCGGAAGCTAGTAAAAATAAGTTAATGTCATGCCATGTTCACAATTAACAATAACCTTAGAAATTTTATTATAAGAAAAAAATGTTTAGAATACCAAATAAATTTAACAACAGAATTGATTTATTTATTTCTTATGTTTTCACTCATACCACTCATTAAATAAAAATCCTTTTTCAACGGGTTTGAAGTGTGCCTTTGCTGTTTACACATATTCCACACTTCGGTTTCAATAGAGGTTCCATGTTCTCGAAAAAGAGTTTAAATCATTTTAAGGTAGACGAGTGAATGGGCTACTTGATGTTAAGTGGTCACCGTCGCCCATGAACATCAGCAATGTCAGTGACACAGTTCGTAGAACACTCTTTTTAAGCCTCTATTGAATAGGACCATGCATGTCATATAACTAAGGAAACACCATGGAGTAGCTCATTCCATTATTTTACTATCCATGAAAGAAACTATCTGACAACGAACAGTTGTAGACTTCAGTGTCTCCAGGTAATAAGGATAAATTCGACTCCGGTGACAGGTGGCGGGGTGGTAAAATGGTACAAGTTTCTCGGAGCACTCGCCATAAAAGAGCCTGTAGAATACGCATAGGCAACCAAAGTCGATGCGTAGTTCTAAAGGCTGTAGATTTTCCGCTAGCTTGGGATCATCGACAATCAGAATCGCGCGCCTTTGTCTTTGTCTTGAAACAAGGGGATGTAACTGGGTTTTGGAAGCTTCAGCCCAAAGATGTGATTAGTACTCTAGGTGAGGCCAATTTGCGCTTTGTAAACCGTTTGTGCGTTAACCGATATCGCTTGGAGAATTACTCTGCTGAAGTGGAAGTAGGCGAGGTTCGTAGCGAAGAGAATAGGTAGCCGTTGGAGTGGAATGGGTTTTCGAATGGCAACCACGCACCAGACGTCTCTCAGTATCTTTCCTATGAAGTGGGCTGACGATCAAGTAAAGGTCGCGGGAAGCTGCTGGATGTGAATAGCATAAGACCGATCGATGTGCAGATCCTGGAGGCCTATGTCCTTAAGTGGGCGTCGTACATCTGATATAATGAAGTTTATTAGATTTGACATTTCAGACCCATATTTATTAGTGTTCTCTTATCCGATAACTATTTATAGAACAATAATATTATATTTAAAGAATTGGGTTTGGTTAGTTTATCGTCGGTATATCGGTTAGTCGATATCTTGCCATGATATCAGCACTGGTCAATGTCGCATCAGCTAATGCTGAGGCAGGGTTCTAGTAAGTCCTTTTTTTTTGTTAACGCAGGCAAAACCTCTGTTTACAGACGACGACACCTTTAAGAGGCACTCCGCCAAACGCATGTCAAACCTGGCTCCCGCAAGCTTTACGGACCCCCGCAGTGGCTGCCCACTGAGGACCCCGTAACTCTTACGGGCACTTTACGGCATAATATCCACTAAAAACCCCTGCGAATACCCTCTAAGCTGCTTCCATGCCCGGTCAAGATCTGCACCTTGCGGAACGTGAGGCCGCCGCGCAGGCGACCCAAACACTTCTCCAACACCGGACGAATGGCCTCAATCGTCCGGTGGCCGCTGCCGATGAAAGTGACTCATCCCATCGCCGTAGGGCTTCGCTCTGGGGCGGCGCCGTGGCTGACCGTGCGGTACGCTCGCACAGCCTGGGTCGCGATGATCCTCTGCGGGCGTTGAAAGTGGGCTCTCTGGCGGGGTTTGAGGCACTCAGCCCAACCCGGGACTCCATAAAAGGCCATCGACCGAACCACCCCGTGATACAGCCGACGGCACGCAGCATCTGGTCCCCCCACTTTCGGGAGGACCCTGCCGAGTGCGGCTGCAGCGGCACACAGCCGTGGAGTGAGGAGCTTAAAATGCTCCTCGAAACTCCATTGGGGATCTAGCACCAGGCCGAGGTACTTCATGCTTCCCTCAACCGGTTTTCGGACCCCCTCCACTCGGATACGGAGCCCCGGAGGGGTGCTGCGACATGGGCCATAGAACATCATGGCCCTTGATTTGTCAATGGCCACTTCCAGGCCCAGGAGGTGAATGCGTCGTACGACCATCGATATGCAGACCGACGCTAGGCGCACCACATCCTCCACCTCCTTTGCTTGCTGCCCTGTAGATAGTCCTCCATGATGGCGCGCAGGTATGGAGGCACTCGATGAAACCGTAGAGTACACTCGTAGGGGAGGCTGTTAAAGGCGTTGCGGTTTGTCTAGCGACACCGCAATAACGCCTCACTCCGCGCAGTGGCCGCCTCAGTCCACCCCTTTAAAAGGGCCACCGCCTCCATCGTAAACCGGTTGCGTCTGAACCCGTACTGGCATTCGGCCAGGTTCGAGCCCGGCCCCTCCAGGTGCTCGACGATTCTGAGAGTCAGGATTTTCTCAAAGAGTTTCCCGGTATCGTCGAGCACCACAATTGGCCTGTATCCTGTAGGAGAGTCTCCTGGGCGGCCGCCTTTCTGAGCAGGATGAGCCACCCCTGCTTCCACCTCCTGGGGAAGCGGACCGCGGCGATACTGAGGTTCAGCACCGCCAAGAACCGCTCCTTCAGGGGTCCCAAGATATGTATCGTCATACTGACTATTTACCTATGTACTGTAACTAAGCGTTAATAAAAAGTTATTTTCTTTCTTTGTTTGTTTTCATCAGTATAATATTATAAGATAGGGAGATTGGGCCGATTTAGGTGGCTAAACGCGATCATTATAATCAACAAATTTAAAGTTTTCTTACGTCATAATTTACATTGTGTTCATAACTATCAACTGTCATTTGACTACTCGCTGTGGTTTAATATTCGTAATAAAAACACGTTGTTATCATTATCATGTGCATGCAATGCTCGTAAATTTTGACTGTTAATTCTTCACTGCTCTTTTATAATGCTTATATTTATAAAGATAAAATTAAACTCTTCCGATAATGTAGCATAATTATAAAATAAAAAAATACATAAAAATGTTCATAAAAAAGTCTAACCAACTAGTTGTACCTTTGAAATATTTTAACTATTGTAATAAATTTATACTACACTATTATAAACAGCAATCGAAAAGTTTATATTTTAAACATCAGCCAACTATATTTTAGATTGTAATACCAATCTACTTTGCCAAGAAAAATATAATAGTAATAAAACATACAGTTTCTTTAAATGATGAGTGTTGCTTCGACTTTTGATGTGTGTGTTTGTACTATAATATTTGTATCAAATAAAATCAAAAACCATTGGGTTGGTTCCAAAATTCTTTCACCGTTGGAATGCTACACTGCTTGTCTGAGTACTATGAATAAAGGGTATGAAATGCGCTGGATAGTTGTGCGTTGAAGTCCTTAGTACGGGAGGTATTATATCCAGTAATGAAAGTCCATCGTATTAGAATGAGTTAGTTTCGGTCGCGGTAGGGTTTCTTCGTAAAAGGTTGGAATTTACTGTATGAAATACATCCAAAAATATGGTAAGGTAATAATACGACGACTATAACGTTTGAAACATGTTTTTGTTTTTTTAAACTTTATTACAATATACTAGTTCCTAAGGAGAAAATAGTATTTTGTAATAAAGTTTAAATAATATTCTTACAAAAAAATACATGTATATCCACACGATTGGCTACGAATCAACATAGTAAAAGATCATACAATGTGTCGTAAATGACACACAATGGCATTTTCTGATTTTTCTTGGAGAAGTTCAGCAACAAGCGGGCGAGAGCTTTACACTATTTAGGTACTTCTAGGAAGTAATTGAATATTTATTCAAACATGCAAAAACTTTCATAAATGTACTATGACGCAAATGTCATTATATGTATAGATTTCTTTAAAATTTTCTCTAAAAGATTGTAAATTGATCACGTTGCCCTCTTCTGGAGCACAAAATTAGTTAGAATGTCGGCAGCATTTCCCCACAATAAAAATATCGTACGACATCATACTATAAAAGTAACTAAAATATACTAGTCGAGCGATATCTACGTCAATTAGCATATGTTCGTAGGCAGAGAGAGTTACAACCAAATTCGTCTACATTCACTTTTTAAAATGACATCGTAACTCAGACTTACAATCTTATATTGTATCAAATTCTTGTATTCGTTGAATAAAATGATTGTATATCTGAGATACCATTTCTTAATAGTTTAAATATGCGTTTTAGGGTTACAATTGGAAATAAAATTAAGTTTTATTAATTATCAGTCTTTATTATTTTTACTGACAAATCACAACCAATTACACATTTAAGTTACAAATTTTCTGATGAGACTTACCAGAACAAAATCACATATTAAAGCGATATTAAATGAATTTAAGCAGTATCTAAGATAATCAGTGTAAGTAATAAATAACACCATTAATGCAACTGAATAATCTTACGTTAGGAAAATAAAAAGCCGACAATAATCATTACTTATGGTGCTAAAATAAGTATTCAGAAAAAAAAAGTATTTTTAACGGAATAGGTAGTCACAATAAATATGAAACCTAGTTTGTTACGTTTAGGCAATCACACTTCCTAAAAAAATACAAACTAATTTAGGCCCGTATTACAGAATGACTACTGAGTGTTGATTTTTACTTGAGTACAGTTAGAAAGGGATGTCGCTATATATAGCACATAGCAACATCCCTTTCTAACTGTACTCAAGTAAACAACACTCAGTTATCATTATGTAATACGGGCCTTAGTATATTATTTGAGCAATCTTTTATTTTTTGTCAATCACACTTTAATCAACCAGTAACCTAAACTTTTAAAGAACTTACTACTTAATCAGAATCAGATGAATCATTAATTCGCCTTGTAGCATTCATGTGCGGTAATGCTATGTAATAATTATGGTAAATTGCTGGAATAGCATTACTTTTACAAAGGCTATGTAAATCTTTGTACTTGGCTGACGATATAGGCAGAGGCGCATTATACGCCTTTGGAATAATGCTCGGTAACTCTTCTCTATCATTGTTTTGAGGTCCCATGGCAGATCGTCGTTTCGCCGCTCGAGAAGGAACTGCTTTTTGCTGCAGCAGATCTATAGCCATTTCACAATCACTGAGTGAATCATATTGATATTTGATAATATTTGGCGAGTCACAGTTAAAATGGATATGCATAATTCTACTCCATGCTACTTTTAAATTATTTATGTCTTGTCCCCAATTGCAATAATAAGGCAGAAGCAGTTTAAAGTCTAATATCATTTCTTGGTTAACTTCTTGTACCACATAAGGTTCACCATTAGCTTTAGCGCATCTGATCAATGTCACCCATTGCTGAGGAACGAAAATAATTTTATTTTTCTTTCTGCGCTCTATAAGTGCATGCATGCTGTCACCCTCTGATTGAGAATGACCGACTTCGAAGAAGTGGTGATAAATATTGATGTTGAAAATTTTGGCGGCATATGAATACATAGCAAAGAATATCCGGTTTTTATTCTGACCACCGCAGCTATCTGAATAAAAATTGAAGTCTTTGTACCCTTCCTGGACTTTATTCTTTATAAAATCAAACACGTAACTACTTATTTCATTGGACCCCTTTTTTCCGATTGTCTCGTCCGATATGTAACAATATCCCTTATGTTTGCCCATTTCTTTTATAGTAAAAAATTGAAACTTCGGACTGTGGGGTGGTTAAGATTTTCTGTAAATCAAAACATGCTGCTACGACAGAATCTGATTGCTCAGCCCGGCCGGCATTTATCGGAATCTTTTAAGGCCCTCACTACATGTTTATTGGCAATAAGTAAAGCTTGCTCATACTCTAAATTAGCTTTGTCGGTTCCGGTTGCGTTTTTAAATATGTCGCATCGTGGGCATTGATCTTTTTTTGGTTTATTAAAATCAATGTTGAATTCAGTCTTAAATATCTCTCTGTATTGCCTCAAGGTAGCAACTACTTGATCAGAATAGTACTTATTCATCCATTCCAAATAAAGTTTGTAAAGTATTGGTAAGCTCAGTTGTTCATCAAGATACTTTTTAGATGTCCTGCTCCTAACGTAATGGGACTCTACCAATGGCATTTGTGAAATGTGGTTCCGGACAGATTGTTTCACATGATCTGGGATAGCATTTTTTCTTGAACCATGACGACCTCGCTTATCACTAGAAATAGTGCTTGTGGCAGCCATATCTATTTTTTTAAAAAGAGTCTGCAACCACATGTCGCTTACAGAAAAAGTATTCAAGAACATAGTTTTACAGGTTCTAATTTCTTTACCATCTATAAATAAAAAATACAGTAAAGACCATTTACGCCTACTTGAGGCAGCTGTACGAACGGTAACTTGCTTTTTTTCAACCCTTTTGACAAATCGACTAATATATTCCATTTGACGATTGTGATCGCCTAGTTTCCAAAACATCGTGAATAATAAATATCTTTGATTTTCTGTTATTAACTCACGACATTTACGTGAACATTTGAAGATGAGAATGTACAGATAATGTAGAACAGATGAAGGCATTGTATCTAAAGTTGCGATGAAATCCAGTTAAAAACTAAATAATTATTTCTGAAAAAAATATTGTACTTCAAGATAAGATGAACACTTTGTTAATATGAAATAATAATTTCTAAAAACAAGATTGTACCTAGTACTACAATTTTATTTAAGTAAACTAATAATGGCTTGCATAAAAAATAACATGTAACTAAATATACAATTATAGTAACTGCAGTTGACTCCCACTTACGATGTTTTTACGCTATGCAAATTTTAAACTGTAAGGAATTTAGATACGGGGATAAGTGTAAACAATTCCGGATTTTTGGCTAGGAGAGAATATCATTTTAACTCAATACCGCCTAAAACTGAGTTACAATGTTCTTCCTTGCAAGTGTCGATACAATGTGTCGTAAATGACACACAATGGCATTTTCTGATTTTTCTTGGAGAAGTTATTTTTTTTATTATTTTATGTTTGTATCTTGTTACTTATATGCTATGTTCACTAAAATTCCATGCGATAATTCAAGAAAAGTTAATTCAGTAACAAGCGGGCGAGAGCTTTACACTATTTAGGTACTTCTAGGAAGTAATTGAATATTTATTCAAACATGCAAAAACTTTCATAAATGTACTATGACGCAAATGTCATTATATGTATAGATTTCTTTAAAATTTTCTCTAAAAGATTGTAAATTGATCACGTTGCCCGCTTCTGGAGCACAAAATTAGTTAGAATGTCGGCAGCATTTCCCCACAATAAAAATATCGTACGACATCATACCATAAAAGTAACTAAAATATACTAGTCGAGCGATATCTACGTCAATTAGCATATGTTCGTAGGCAGAGATCTAAGTCTCTCTGATTTTTTTTTAATTTGTGGGCTCCACTGAAGATATAAATGTAGTCCACTTGCGGACACTAACACATTAGCAAAGGTAGTTATAATTTTACCTTCATGAGAAAGAAAATTTTACTAGCATTAAGCCAATGGATTACTTTAAGGATAGCAATGTTTCCATTGTCAATAAGTGGTTGTTTCTTTTAATTTTGTTAATTTTATTTGGTATAATTTTAAACAAGAAAGAACCAAGTATCAAGCCCTGAAGAACATCCATCTTTACCAACGAACTAGGAGACCTTTTGCCATTAATGACAACACAGTGGATTCTTTAGCTCAAATTTGGGTCAATTTAGAGGTGGCACTCTGTAACTAATCAGAGTGCCAACTCTAAATTCAGATTCCTAATAAATGTTTCATGAAAAACGCAACCAAAAGCCTAGTATAAGATATAGAAAACACCAAAAGATCATGTGACTCATCCCAGGCATCAAAAATAATGTTGTAAGAGATCAACACCAGCATCGGCCTCTTATAAGAGCCTATGCACACCACGTTTTTTAAACGCACCGCGCCGTCGATGCGCGTTAGTAGCGATGCAGACGCGATACGCACGCGAGTCAGATGCAGCCTGTAGAACTTTGCATAGTTATAATAAATACCCTGCTTGTGCACACCACGTTTTTTAAACAAACCGTCGACTCGCGTTTATACCCATACAGGCGCACATGTGTAGCGATACAGACGCGCGTGTGTAGCGATACAGACGCACGTGTGCAGCGATACAGACGCGATGCTAACGCGCGTGAGTATCGGTACAAATGAAAACAAACAGCTCTGTAGGTTAAAAGCGCGCCGACGGAGCGTTTTAAAACGTGGTGTGAATAGGCTTTAGAGCCTATTCACACCACGTTTGACCAAACTGTAAATAATTTTGAGTTGTATCGCCGCTCTAATTAAATGCTTCAATTTCGCAGGTAGTTATCGTTGCGGAAAAAACGAAAGATCGGTGAAATGTCCTGAGACTCTTTGTGTACCCCTGAGTTGCAAACAAGCTGGGTTCCCCGTTCCCTGTCCTTTAGTAGGGCCAGGTGGACCATGCAATAAGCCTGCTGAATGCATATGTATCGATGGGTACCTACGAAACAACAAAGGAGTCTGCGTGCCGAAGCTACAATGCCGTATGTGTTTATTAATAATATTATTTATTAGAAAAAGATAGGTAAATCATAACAGATTTTCACTCAAAATGGAGTGCAGAAGGTGGGAAAAACTAGCCTACACCTTACGCAGGACTGTGACTCACTAAGATTATTAAAAATACATTTATAGGTTGAGAAAAAAGTGTTTTCGCATTATAGTATGTATGTACCTGTAATAAAACCTCTTCGGCTATAAGTATCTGGCTGGTTTTGGTATCATTTAAAAGTTTAAATTTTAAAGAAGATAATTCCAATTTCTAATTTATTAGATAAATGAGTGATTTTCATTTGTTTTTCTTAGTAAGAAATTCTTACTGTCAAAAATAGTGAACATAATGAAGAAATTCGATACTTTTTAAAATTTTACTACAAAAAATGTAAACATGCAACGCAAGCCGCGAAAAAAAATTGAGATTTTATAGATTTAGTGGAGTATCTGTGAGTTTAAGCGTTTTCAATCCGGAAATTTTGATGTCAAATGCTCGCTCTGGTCGCTCTGGTCGCCCTGTTACGGATAAAATGTATGCCATTTTCGAAAAACTGGAGCAAGATAGGCATATCAGTAGTTACAAAGTAGCTGAAGAACTGGGAATTGACCACGAAATAGTTTTGGCGCATTTGAAAAAAGCTCGATATTTGGGTGCTTACGAACTCACTGAAAGAAACATAATGAACAGTGTACTCATTTGTGATTCTTTATAACGACGTTATGAAACCGCACCATTTTTGAAGAAGCTGATAACTAGTGATGAAAAGTGGATCACGTACGACAAGAACGTGCGAAAAAGGCTGGTCAGGCTTAACGACCCTGGCGAAACCCGAGATAAATCGTAACAAGGTGATGCTGTGTGTATGGTGGGATTGGAATGGCATTGTTCATTATGAGCTGTTACCGCCAGACAAGATCATCGATTCTGAAATCTACTGCGAAAGCTGATGAGATTTAAGCAAAAAATTGAAAAAAAGCGGTCGGAATTAATCAACAAAAGGGGTGAGCTTTTACATCATGATAACGCTAGTCCTGACACATCTTTAAGCACTCAGACAAAATTAAAAGGGTTTGACTGGGAGGTGTTAATGCATCCGCCGTACAGCCCTGGCCTTGCACCTTCAGATTTCCACCTGTTTCGGTCTCTTCAGAACTCTTTAGGCAGTGTCAGGTTAACATTACGAGAGGACTGCCAAAACCACTTGTTGCGGTTTTTTGATCAGAAGCCTCGAAATTTCTATAGCAATGGGATCATGTCCCTACCTTCAAGATGGCAAAAACTTAACGGTCAAAATAGCACCTATATACTTTACTTAAATGTAAATAAATTTTATAAAAAATGTTTTGAATTTTCATATAAAATGCGAAACTTTTTCCCCAACCTAATAATATAAAAATTGGAAACAAAGAAATATATATTTTTTTTTACTTTAACGGCGTAACTAAAACTATAAACGGGGTTTTCCACTGAGAGCGGAGTAAGCCTAATAATGACTCCGTTTATCTTGCAGTACAAAAATGCATACATCCATTTCCACTAACAAAGAATCGAACGAAAATTACAAAGAGGGCAAAATAATAAAATTGAGCTCGCTCTTTGGTCGTGGAAATCAATACTCCCGAATTCTTTCTCGGTGGAAAAGCAATCCTATTTTGTGAACACAAAGACCGCTCCACTAGTTGATTCCTCTTGGGCGGTCGAAAACGGGCTTAAAGCGCTATTAATTTGAAGGAGATGGCAAACTTCTCTCACAAATGATTTTCAATTCCAGTTTGGCAAAAGGTATCCTTGTAATTTGTACTTCAATAATATAATTAAAAATATTAAGGACATGATAAAATTTACAGCGTCCTGTGGAGGAGATGTAAATGCGAGACCAGGTTGCGGCTTCCAGTGTGAACGTCGACGTTGTGATAGAAATATTTTAACTGATTCAAACCCATGCCCTTGTGACCAGAATGGATGTGTGTGCAAAGGGGGCTATGGTTATGATGACGTACAAAGAAAATGCGTTTTACCGCAGCAATGCTGTAAGTGATTATTCTCTTCTGGAGTAAGTAGATAAAGGATGTTATACTAATAGTCCAAGATCCAGCGCCCGCTAGACCTTACTTATTTTCTGATGGACAAAATATGGATAACCGAGTAGTATTGGTATGTATAATGAACGTATACATACTGGCTTACTTGTCCTATGGGCCAATTCTCAGGTATCAGTGGGAATAGATACATAAAAAATGTACTCCTACAGGCTGAGGACTGATTCTTACGTATTTTTTAGAAAATATTGTAAACAATTTAAAATTATTACTGCCTGACATATTTTTTTTCAGTATTTATTGACAGGCACTTTTAATTAACACATCGTTTTTATAATATTGGTAGCATATAATGCTTCTTCGAAATTGTAACTTGAGCTTTATTAATGAACTCTAAACAGCCTCTGAGCCTGCACCTTTTTTTGAAGGACGAATTAAGCTGATGCAGCTGGCTTTTCAGAACCTACTTCTCCTGTCCCGTAGAGCTAAGAAAACCGTACTCACAAGTAATGAATAAATAATGCTGTTGCAATGTTCCTGTAATATGAAGGTTAATTTCCCAGATTGGCCCTCCAATTCTGAAAAATTCCTACCTATCTTAGTGCCTTCATCGTCATCAGCCTATAAGTTTTCCACTGTAGGGACACATGCCTCCCTTTTGGTTGGAATAGAGAGATTGAACCATAATCCACCACGAGTACTTAGTGCGGATTTGTGGATGCAAACGACTGCAGATACAGCCGGGATTTAACTAGTTATAGTGCCTTTCGAAGTACTAAAAATCTCGAGATAATAAATTTTGGTCACCCATCCGATGACTGAGCATTGTGAAAGTTGCTTAAATTCCACGATCGCCGACTTAACGTTCTAACCACCTTCGCCATCAAGCTCCACAATGTCAGAAAAACAACTGCCTTATATATATGCGTTATAATTTAAGATTGAAGTATTTAAATTAAACATAAATTTTATTGTATGCACAGCTAAACCCAAGGAGAATGAGGTTTTTTCTCCTTGTGGGGACTTTGGTTGCGATAAACGAAATTGCACTCAGATTGATCAGCCCGATATCTGCATAGATCCTATCGAGTGTTTCGGCGGTTACGTTTGCATCGAAGGTTATTTGCGAGCACAGAACGGTACCTGCATCCCCAGAGACCAATGTTACGGTAAGTTCAACCAACTAATCCGTTTCAGTAACATCATTTTAAATACCTACTTTTGTCATAATAATTACAAATTAATCGCAGCTGACTTGTGACCATGACAGTGAATACAATATACTACGAATGTCGCCCTACATGTTACGTGATAAAGGTGCTTTTTAAAGATACACACCTAAATAAAATAAATGAAGTCGCAAAATGTAAAAATATCCCATGCTATGAGAGTGGTGTTAAGTAGCCAGCTTCTGACTCGCCGGAATACAACACCTGTCTGCTAAAGCTCTTCCTTCATAATAGTCTTGTTTTGTCGGCACTCTTACCACGAAAATATTAAAAGTCTTGATCCACAAATTCTCTACCACCATCTCCTCTGTCTTCGTAAAGTAATGTAGGCGGGACACGTTCAGCAGCATCACGGCTGCACGCAGCAGGTCGCAGGGTCGGAGGAACGTTACTCAGATTGCGAGGAACGGGCTTCTTCTTCATCCTTTCCACTGTGATAAAACTCTTAGTCACAATTACTATTTTGTGGTACCTCTTCTCCATTTTTTGTTTTATTCACCGTTCGCTATTCGGAGCGGTATTGACAAGCAGGTTGGTGGCTTCAACTGTGTAAAGAAGCACGAAGCACGTGGATGTGTAGACGTGCAGGCGCGTGACATTTTAGACGGGGCAGTTGACATGCACGTGTATACGACAATTCTTTACTGTGGACGAATACAAATTGTGCTTAGCGAGGTGTGTCATATGATATTGCAAGATTTCTTTCTAGATGATTTATGTCCAAAACCGAATGAGTACTACGATTCCTGCCCGGGCTCTTGTCCCGCGAGGACATGTGGTATCGACGATCGACTGCTCGACTGTGTTCCCGAACTTGAGCCTGGTGACCCTGACTGCCCCGCACCAGCTTGCCGTTGCGAGCGTGGTTACTATAGGGACAATAACGGTAACTGCGTAGTTTGGGAAGACTGCCGTAAGTAAAAAGAACGTCATAATATTTTTTTCTTTTTGAATGAAGTGATAATTCAGCTTTTGGTCCACTTGATAACAAGCAGCTTCTATAGTTTGTAGCTAGTGATTCTGTGTGTATATGACTTTCGATTTCTTATAGCTATTTAAATTTTCTACACTGTTGAACGCCTTATAATTTTATCTACTAATAAAACACAGCTCTACATAATAGTGTTCTTTAGCTGCATTCTTCAGTGCTGTTGTTCTATGAGACACTTTCCAACTGACGACTTATGTATTTTTTACTAGTGCAATACAACCTCAACGTAAAGAAACAAATGTAAAGAAACCCCTTATTGTAATAATAATTCATATAAATGGGCTGTTTCTAGTATTATTCTTTAATGAGATCAATGTAGTAAAAAAATATATATTATTTTTAGCCGGCAACACGACCCCTAAAGTACCAGTAAAATGCTCTGATGATGTCTTAGAGTTACTACAATACGGAAACGCTATATTTACTGCAAAATTCCTTTACGTAAGCTAATAAATTTAAAAATATTTTCCATACATCACACTATGTAATATTTTTTCTACTTTATAGATTTGTTTTCAAACTTCTTGCATAAACTTTTCTTTCAGGAAGCCTACAAAACATCTTTTAAAAAAAGTTTGATAATGTCGCCCTTATCTGTCTTCGTACCCATGGGTGAATTGGCTCTCTATTCTGAAGGGGAAACTTATGTACAACTTATGAAAGCATTGAACCTACGAACCAAAAACGATGTAAGTTGGCATCAGAATGATGTTTCTGACTCTTAATTAAAATAATGAATTGAAAAAATCTTGTTTCGTTAAATGTGTGGAACACACAGATTTAAATTTTGCCCAGAATATCGAAGGTTTTCAGACATTTCTGTTTAAGGAGAAAGTTATTGCTCTTAACAAACTTTTGACAATATTCATTAACAACTTTACAGATCAGATGCGTCTTCCCGACTTTGACAAACAATTTAAAATCCGACAAAGATGTGATACTTACGATGGCAGCCCGGATATTTTCTACTGATGATTATCCTCTTTCACAAAACTTTTTGGATGACACGAAAAATGTATTTGGTGCTGAAGCAGAGAGCTTAGATTTTAATAATGCTCAAAACGCAGCTGATAGAATTAATGCATGGGTACGTTAAACATTGCATCAAAAATGAATGTCTCAACGAGCTATGACTACACTTAATTTTTGCAACGATTAGGTATAAACTTTTTTTTATGTTTAGAAATAGTAACAAGCATACAATCATAATGAAAATACAAACGGGTTATTTAATTAAATAAACGGATAATTATGGTCCATAATGGCTAGTACCTGTAGCGACCAAGTGCTCGCTACAGGTACTAGCCATTATGGAGTATAGTAGTTGAATCCAAACTTTTATAAATGATAAATATAATATTATATAGCTGACCCGGCGAACTTCGTGCCGCCTAACAGTCGATCGAATGTGGTTATTATCGAGTGGATCCAAGTCTACCGTACTACCCTTAGCACGAACCAATATCGAATTCGAATAGTTTGCGAGTGCGAAATGTCATTGACAAATGTGTACTGATTTTTAGTTTTCGGTACGTCCGTTATGGCGCTACTGTTCAAGTTTCCGTACAAAATTTGACAATGACATTTAGTACTCGCAAACTATTCGAATTCGGTATTGTTTAGTGCTAAGGGTAGGGTCGTACGTCAAATGTTTGACACGAAAAAGGTAGAACAGTTTATATGCGAATGAAATTGTTATTTTTACTATCTTCCTCGCAGTTTTTCCATTTTTCCTCACCGTTTAAACCTTCCCTGAGCTACGACAAACATTTAGAAACCAAAATCATCTAAACCTGCACAGCAGTTCTCGACTTTTAGCAAGACAAACGAACAGCAATTGATTTATATATATATATACTAGCGGACCCGACAGACGTTGTCCTGTCTAGTATGGTAGCGCCGTCTGTCGGATCCAATGTAAAACATTCCAAAATCAACAACTACTAATAAATTAAAAATTAATTAAAAAAACATTATCCAGCGGACAAAATTGTGAATCTAAACCATTCTCAGATCCCCTTGAACACACACAAAAAATTTCATCAAAATCGGTCCAGTCGTTTAAGAGAAGTTCAGTGACATACACACTCACAGAAGAATTATATATATAAAGATATATATATATATATAGATATAGTATTTTCCCAACTAAAGTAGTTTGTTTGTTTCATACTTGTTGGATGAAATGAAATGTAGCAGTATGTTTCTTTATTATCTGTTGGTTTACAAATTATAAAAAATAATTCTAGGTCGCCGATAATACTAACAACCGCATAAAAAACATCGCTTCACCGCAAATGTTTGACGAGTATACAAGGCTGGTCCTCGCAAATGCCATCTTCTTTTTGGTAAAGTATTGTTTACATTACATACATAGTGGTCATAAACATTCTTACCGAATACCTTAGGATGTTTGTACGGACATGTGCTTGAGTTTAGGACCTCCATTAAAATACACATCTTAGAGAATCTATAATTTGTTATCAATCACAATCTTGCTATATTCACGAGTGACATAAGCTATAATTAACTTACATATTCAAAAAGCAGCTGGTGGTTCGCTAGTTTAAAATTTAAGATCACACTGCAAACGCCACATTTGGCATCGGGTTTTAGATATTGTCCGGTAACACTATTAATAATTAAAGTGAAATACCAAAAACATTTAAATTCAAAAATGAACTTTACTGGATGTTTTTTTTATTAAAAGGGCAACTGGGTGCGTCAATTCAATCCAAACAATACCGAGAATCGTCCATTCTACACGGCTAATAATAAATCAGAAGAAATTCCGACTATGTACCAAGAAAGCAATTTTAAATATCGAGAAGATGGTGACCTAGATTGTAAGGTAAAAAAACTCATTACTACCTTTTTACACACGCGCTTTTCGTTGTTTGGATTAAAATAATAACAAACGGTAACTGTTATTTCCTATCCGAAAGGTAACGAAAATTTTGCATTGCTGGCTCCGTGCTCTGGATGGCACAATCAAAACATAAGTTAAACACGAATATACGTAACATCTGCGTAACTGATTTGTGTCCCGTTTTCCCCTGCGTGTAAGGTTTAGAATAGTATCTGTATATTTGATACTTTTATTACGAGTGTGAATCGTAAAACAATTGATGTGGCTTGTATGGAATACGTTATCTTTATAATTTTCTTGGTGCTAGATGACTTTGTTCTCGCAGGCTTCAATGACGGAGAAGAGCGAGATGACTAGGTCTGTATTGGTCATTCTTGTTAAGACCAGCCGTTGCATAATTTCCAAAATCGCAGAATGAACAAGCTAGCCACTTTGAGTGAAACTAAATCGATCTTCTCTTTTATGTGTTCATCATTATTTTCAGTATTGAAGTGATTAATTAATAAAACTAAAGATTTTTTTACTAAAATAAACATAGTTATTTAATTTATTTTCATAATATAAACAATAATTCTTGTATCTTTTCAGGTATTAGAAATGCCTTACAAAGGAGGAGACTTCTCATTTGTCGTATTTTTGCCAAATGCTGTAGATGGTCTCTATGCTTTAATAGAAAAACTGCTAGAACCAAAAGCATTCTACAGTGCATACAATGCCACTTCTTATAGGAAAGTTAATGTTTACTTACCAAAAATCAAAGTTGAATCTGAATATAATCTAGGAGATATTATGCAAAAGGTGAGGTCTCATTCAAAGAATATGTTTTAAATGAGATTTTTTTTCAAAGTTGAAAATAGATGGTGAATTTTTATATTTTCTCGACATGCCGACATGTTATGTTACTGATATTTACAAACATGGGAATTTCAAATCTTAGAGTATCATATGCGAATGGATGGTGGGTTTTTTTAACATCTGATTTTGGTATTTTAGTTAAGTTAATTCGATATTAATTTAATGAATGTAAATAAGGCACACTGACCAGACAATATAAACCAGCAATATATTTTTCGAGAATCAATCACAACGTTAAGGCTGACATATGAGCGCTTGATAGTGGATAACGATTTACGTAACCCGCAAGAAAAAAGATGATTCGATTCATATTAGGCTGGACCGGATCCGCGACGTCGTAGATTAAACAACTTTTTAGGGACATAATGAATAATTTGCCTTATATTTATTGTATTACAGATAGGAATCACAGATATATTTGACGGAAGAAAATCCAACTTGACTGGCATTTTACAAAAATATGAACCACTAAATGTATCTACTGCGGTGCAAAAAGCCTTTGTGGAAGTTGATGAAACTGGTACAGAAGCGGCGGCTGCCAACAGTAAGTATTTATCTATTTGTATGTTTAGGGAATAAACTCACCGTTCTCTGTCCAACTATGAAGTAAAACTGGGCATATAATTCTGAGAGAGAAGAAACAATCGTATGGCAAATAGTCCGTAGTAGGTATTGGGCTACACAATCGCTTTCTCTCTATCTAGAGAGTTGTCAATTCCATGCGAATGGCTCTAAGTACAATTTCTATATATACTTTTACATCTTGCAAAACCGAGTTCAAAGATTTTCGAGACGTTATTTTCCAAAAATATTTTGTATTATCAGGTATCAACAAAGTCTAGGTAAACGGATTGGATAGAAAGAATCAATAATAATGAAGTGGTTATCGCTAGAGTGAAATATTTAATCGTTTATTATTGTTACTCACTACCTAATAGATATAAAATCAGTGCTTTTTTATGCCTCTAAATATACCTAAAGAAAACTTTACCAGAGAAAATAAACTTGAGTTAGTATTCATTTGACATTTTGGGTTACCTACAAAGCGAAGATGGCGCTGCCTTGCCGCTTAAGAATGGCTAGAGGAATTTCGACGGTTTTGGTATCATAATTGGTCAGTGCAAACGCACGGATAGCAAAGGGTGCGGGTTCGAGTCCCGTCTGCTGCCTGGCCCGCGGGGATTTTTTTCTAGTTATTATTTTCTTTAGATTTAAACTTCAAGCAGTTATATGCTTAAAAAATAAAAATTATAAAAAAAAATATAACGAGTTAAGTTTGTTCTTTTTATTGTTGTCTTGTTTGAGTTTGTTAGAAAACAATCATTTTATTTAAAATGTCTAGACATTATTAAGTTTAATTAATGATTTTTCAGTATTCATCGTAGGAACGACTTCAGCAGAATACCCCGTTAACAACTTCGATGCAAATCATGGTTTTGTTTTCTACATTATGTATAAGGACATGCCTATTTTCTGTGGTACTTTTGAAAACTAAGGTGAACTCATTATTAGCATTAGTTTAATAATAACAACAAATATTTGGTACAAGTTGGAGTGATGTTTCTTGCACTTGATATTTATGTATAGTAATCATATTGTTAATTAAATTGATGAACTTGCTTGAATTTCTGAGATTTTTTATATAATCTTGGGTTATTATTAGATTCATCATACCAATTACCGACAACTCTATTTTTTGTGTGTGTTGTGTGGGTGCTTTTTCTATAGAAATTATGCATCCCATCTTAAAATTTCTTGACTAGCAACGGTTTGTAGTTCTACGGATATGCATGAACCCATTATTTACATTTTTTCCATACCTCTACATTCTTTGAAACATAAAACACCACTTCACCAACATGCAAGGTTCCTTTACCTATTTACTCTCTTTCCGATAAAGTTATAGCTTAATTTGCCAATGTATAAAGTTATTTTTGTCCTATAATAACCTTCTTGATTCTTGGCTGTAATCAGTCTCTTGTTTTGACTTCTGATTTTTATTACACCTTCGTTTCCGATTTCGGCTCCAAAATTTTTAAATCGGAGGTTTTAATCGGAAGCATAGCAAATAGCGACGGCACCCTGTCCACCGTCGACCGGTTCATACCCGTCACGTTGGGAGCCTGTGTTGATAATAAGTAAATTTAAATGGAAAAAGGTTATTTAACAATTAAAATAAAAAGATTGACAGAATGATGTTTTTATTTGTTGTTAAATGAAAAATATCTCTCTTGGGACCACTGCCGACTCCGCCGGTAACCCCGACTCTACCTCTGACTCCTGTTCCAACTCCGATAAATCAAATTTAAAAACTCCGACTTCGGTTCCGATAAATTTACCTCCGTTACATCCCTGTTCTAAATGAAATTAATATTCATAATAAACTAATTACTGAAAATGGTTTCAGTATTCATTGACGCTGGTACTACTTCCATTGGTATTTTTCAATCCGTGTATACCTTCAATGCGAACCGACCATTCCTATATTATATTTTATAGGGCCTTGATATTATTTTCTGTGGAACATTCGCGAATAACTAAATGAATTCATTTGTCATATTCTAATAGGTAAGCGTGCCTTGTATAAATTATTAATACCTCATTTTTATTTATTAAAAGAATGTTAATACTAATCATTAAAAAAATATAAATCACGACTTGAGCTAAGCAAACAATAAGCACCTATAGAATGTTATATATTGAATTAATACATCAGTTTTTAATTTGGGATTTCTTCAATCATTATTAGAATAATTCTGAATATTTTATTTTATTATTTTCAGGTGAGCAATCGCATAGGCTGAGAGTGAATAATATGTCCAATCTTTTATTGTTATATCGAATTGTATCCACATCATGATTTTGAATAATTATAGTTTTGGTCAGATCACAAAATTAATTTCATTTTTAACTCCATATTTAAACATTGATATTTAAAATATTGATCAGTAGTAAAGCATTTATAAATTAAGTACACAAAACTGCCTTGCAGACGGGACTCAAATTTTGCTTTAAATTGTTTTGTGTTGATTAGGATGCCTCCAAAGTCAACGTTCATTTTTTTATTAAAGAAAAATATCTATATAATCGATTGTGATCCTTGCACATAGTTTTACACTTAACAGTATTGATGAGTATAAAATAACAAATGTCACCATAGCAAGCTTCATAGTTTTAGTTAAAAAATAAAAAGTTAAATGATAAATAATCAAATTCAATGAAGTGACACAGCCTACCCACCCTAATAGCTTAAAGGACTGTAAATTATAGTCCATTATGACATGATACAAGACAGATCTCACTGGAGACTAGTTTCCAATTAATAGGTATTAGGCTCTCCGCCGGGACGGAATATCGACAGGCCGGGATCAAATGAAATTTCGAATTAGTTCGTACTCACTTTATCCCGATAAAGCTTGGATAATCTTCGTGACGGAACCACTATGGTCGGGACAGCCCCTACCCTTATTTACTATGAAATGCTCATTTCATCGACGTAACATTCTTAATCTGTTTTTGAATAATTTGTACAATTCTGAGTGTCGAGTATTTGCGGTAAAGTACTCCGTTGGTCATTTTTCTAATTACTTACTTAATAAATAAGGTACTTTGTGACAGAAGCTGTGTGATGATTGTGAATGAGCCACAGATTAGAGAGAATTTTTAAACTCTCGTTAATTTAGTTACTTAAGCTTTATCATTTTTTTATGTATATATTATAACCAAATTTTAGATTATTAGTGTATCACACCTTAAAATGTGTTATCGAGGTGATTGGCGAAAAATGTATGGCAATAGATTTTATGATGTCGCCTACCATCTATTATAATTGTCTTAGCATATTTGCATGTAGTGAAAATTATAATATAGTTATGGATATTACTACCACAGTCTAATAAAAAAAAATATCAATCTTCACAAAATATATTTGTTTTGATGTTATTTAAACAACTTCGATCAGTCTTTGGCTGAATGTTATTACACCCATAGCCATTAAAAATGATTCGTATGTTTTCCAAACCGGTAAAAAGTCTTTTTTAAAATGAATATATTATACAAAGGTGTCCGTTAAAATCTAATGACTGTAAAATAAAGTATATATTACGCCAAGAATTACCGTATATGTCAATATTTTTTGTACATTTGGGCCAATTTGAGCAATCTCCTTTGCAGTTGCTTCCATTTGTCAACATGACATATCTTTATCTGACGCACAGTCGTTAAGGTTTGTTTTTAATTCCAGTACGTACAACACATTGTCTATGGTCGTTCGAACCCATTCACTTCCGTCGTATATGTGTACTTCCACCGCCATGTGTCCGTGGCCAAGTACACTAATAGCCGCGCCGTTACCGACAATCACAGATTCTTCCAGATTGTTGATATTCTTTTAACGAACTTGACAACACAAATGCGTTACTTTTCTTTTGGTCTTTGTTTTTCCTAAACCAACATTGAACCTTGTTATGTTCAACTTTGCCACAGAAGAAACATTTGTTATTTTGTCCTTCACTGTTATTGTTGTTATTGTTTTTACACTCGCTAAGAAAGTGTCCGAATTTGTTACACTTATAACACTTTATATTCTTCTTGTCTTTAACAACAAACGAAGATGAGCCTGGAGATTTTTGATGACCCTCGCTCTTCTCTTTCATTCTTTCCTCTTCAACGAGTAATCTTGCAAATAGATTGTCGATTGTTTGTTTACTATCTGGGGCTGACTCCCGAGCGGATACAAAGTGTTTATACTCATCAGGCAATGACATTAGTACTGTTGTTATTACAAACTTTTCGGAGACTTCCTCACCCATCCGTTAGAGCTGATTTTGCATTTATTGGATTATTAACAGGAATCTAGACATTTCAGTGCCCGTTTTATATTTGTATTGAAAGAAACGCTGCTGTACTATGTGAAGATTTGTTTCTATTTTCTGCTCATAAACACTTTGTAATTATCTCCACATTTCCGCTGAACTCGAACATGAAATAATATGCAACATAGCATTTTTCGTCATTCTCGTGACTAATAGGGTTTGTGCCTTTGGGTATGTATTTAATATCAAGCGATTCGTGCTATAAGATCTTCGGACTTTGGAGTTCCTCCCTCGACAACATCCAACCAGCCTTGACCTCGTAGCGAAACTGTGGTTTGAAACTTCCAGATGTCCCAGTTGCTGGCTCCTTCCAGCTTCATCAATCAAGCCGCCGTTTGAACTCAGATTTAATTCCATTTCGCTGTCCTGCCTTGCTCCATAAACCGAAACAAGTATTCTTTGACTTTCAGCTCCACGTTGTTATGCAACCTAACCTCACTTTTTTCCGGTTGCACTTTCTTACGAAACTGACTTCCTGTATTTTTTATACAATTTCTGTGCATGATTATGTGCCTGGGCCCATAACCTGATATAATTAAATAAGGAACACAGTTTTAATTAGCAAAAGGTTTTCTATTATTTTAAACGAGATCTTTTACAAGTAGGTACAGTAAGTATATATTTCCCAGGCTAGCAGTGTTGCCACACTTCAGACAAGTATAAGGGTATAATTACATTGTCATATTCTAACAAAATCTATATTCTGGCGATAAATAATGTTACACAAAAACTATACTTTTTTCAACTTTTTAATTATTTTCAATTTGGAACACGTATAATATTTTAAAAACTTCTTTCGGTTTTGCGCCATTTCACTATTTTTTGTGTTTATTATCAAATTACAATATTTACAGTCAGGTCATAAGTATTTTCACACAGTAAAAACTTTTCTTTTAGAATGCTGGCCACAAAAAAGTTTATTGAATTCGAATTTCGAATTGTTCATGAAAATAAAAATGTATACTTTTTAGAATTTAACTCATTTTGAAATATGGAGTGGACGCTTAAAGAAGACCGTGTTGCAGTTATTGCGTTGCATTGTTGCGGTAACGCGCCAATTCAAATTTTTGACATACTGAAAATTTTGAATATAACCAAAAGATTCGTTTATCGTACCATCAAACGATACAATGAAGACTCTAGTGTAGATGACAGGTCAAGAAGTGGTCACCCTCGGTCTGATAGGACTCCAGCAGTGATAAAAGCTGTGCGCGCGAATTCAAAGAAATCCTAAACGTAAGTAGAAACTGTTGGCCCTTCAGATGGGGTTAAGCAGAACCAAGGTGCAAAGGGTGTTAAATGAAGACTTAGGGCTTTGGGCATATCGAAGAAAAACAGGACATCGTTTGAATGCTCGTCTAATGGACCTGAGACTGAAGAGATGCCGCGCTTTGTTGAAGCGGTTCGCGGGAAAAAAAATTGTGTGTATCAGCTCCGACGCACGACTGGAGTTTACTCCTTAAGTTCGATAGTCTAACCAGACGCAAAAAGAGTTTATTTAACTTAAAAAAGATTGATACTGTATGAAAGGGTAAATTAACAAATTAATGAAAATAATATACATATCTTTATATGTATATATAATTCTTCTGTGAGTGTGTATGTCACTGAACTTCTCTTAAACGACTGGACCGATTTTGATGAAATTTTTTGTGTGTGTTCAAGGGGATCTGAGAATGGTTTAGATTCACAATTTTGTCCGCTGGACTACCCCTATTTTTTTAGGGCGGTACGAAGTTCGCTGGGTCAGCTAGTATAAATATATATTTACTCATTTCATACACATTTATTATAACTAATCGACGAAATATTTAACATTAAACTTTTTACAATAGTCAATTTCAGATGTGCATAAATATATCATTAGGAATGTTGATAAATTATGTAATTATTATTATCAGACTATTATCATTTTCTTAAATATTAATTAAATCAACATTGTCTGCATTATTAATCACAGTGACAAGTGGTTTATGGTAACTAAAATAAGACACATGGACGTTCGTAGATACGTGGTTCACGAATCTTGAAAATACCGTATCAATGGTTGTACCATACCTCGCTGTCCCCATTGCTCTATCAGACACAATATCTAAATTCAGTTCAGATTTTAAAAATTTTATTAATGTCAATCCGTCATCTTTGTTTGTCAAAGTTGCGCGACATAGGATGCGCACCAAAAACGTAACGAGGTCATTCATCGATAGATTTTACTCCTCACATTTTTCTCATACCGGGCCCTTTATATATGCAAATCGATTCTTAAGGAGTAAACTCCAAAATATCGAGAAATTCTTTTTTCGGATGAAAAAAATTTTACCGTAGAAGAGAGCTACAACAAACAAAATGATAAGGTGTACGCATACAGTAGTGAAGAAGCGAACAACCGTATTCCGCGTGTCCAACGAGGTCATTTTCCATCCTCGCTCATGGTATGGTTGGGAGTTTCTTATTGGGGCTTAACAGAGCTACATTTTTGTAAGAAAGGTGTAAACGAATGCAGTTGTGTATCAAAATACAGTCCTGACGAATCTTGTGAAACCTGTTTCTCATACCATGTTCAATAACAGGCACTGAGTATTCCAACAAGATTCGGCGCCAGCTCATAGAGCGAAGAGCACACAAGACTGAAAAAATCTGAAAGAAATCGACTTCATCCGGCACGAAGACTGGCCCTCCTCTATTCCAGATTTGAGTCCGTTAGATTACAAGATATTGCAACACTTGGAGGAAAAGGCGTGCTCAAAGCCTCATCCCAATTTGGTTACACTCAAGACATCCTTGATTAAGGCAGCCGCCGATATTGACATGAACCTCGTTCGTGTTGCGATAGACGACTGGCCGCGCAGATTGAAGGCCTGTATTCAAAATCGCGGAGGTCATTTTGAATAAACTTTATTGGCATAAGAATGTATGTTTTGTTAAGTTCATTTTGGTATATAAAATTGGTTACATAATGAATAAACTCGTTTCAATTATTTTATATTAAACATGTGGCAGAATTTATGACCTGA